GCGGGGCTGGGACGAGGATGCAGGCAACCCGCATAACAAAGATGGGCATGCTTCCCAAGGGTACCCTTGCATTTTTGCCTCCTCGGCTCATCCTTGGCCACTTTCGCTGGCCGCGCCCCGCTCGAAAAGCTTCGGGATGGGCGTCCAAGGCCCTTGCATCTTTATCGCGCATCCTTATGGTACGGGACGACAGTAAATCCGTTCCAGAGCTCTCCGGCACTCTTTCAGAGCGTCTCAGAGCGACCTGGAACGCTCTGACAAGGCCGCGGCGCCCGAGACATTTTCCAGAGCCGCCGGATCTCAGAGATTTTCGACTTACGTATCCTCGCCCGATTTCATCCTCGTCCTGGCTTCGCCTTCTGAGCCTTCCAGAGGCCACGGCATCCCTCGCCCCAGTCTCAGCTGTAGGCCCAGGCGGCTCTCCGCAGGAGCGGCTCGTTCGCTCGCTCGCTCGTTCGCTCGCTCCGCTGGAGGCTTTCTCCGAAGGGCTTGGGCGACCCGTCCTCCTCCTCCTCCTCCTCCTCCTCCTCCTTCTCCTCCTCCTCCTCCTCCTCCTCCTCCTCCTCCCTCCTCCGCCATCTTCCCTTCCTCCTCCACCTCCTCCTCCCCGTCCTCCTCCTCCCCCTCCTCCATCCTCCCCCGTCTTGCCTCTGGAGCCTCCTTTTCCCTGAGTCGTTTTTTTTCGGACGGTCCCGTGGCCCGTTCGAGGGCCCCTGGAGGCTGAGGCACGGCCAACCACGGGCCGCTCCGATCTTTCCCAACCGTCCTGTGGTGTCAGGTCCTCGCTTGGACTGGACAGAGCCCCGCGTCCTTCTCCCCCTCCTCCCTCCTCCTCCTCCTCCTCCTCCCTCCTCCTCCTCCTCCTCCTTCTCCTCCTCCTCCTCCCGCGTCCTCCTCCCGCGTCCTTCTCCTCCCCCTCCTCCCTGCCTCCTGCGCTACCACCTGAGGCGCACCCGGGGTTCACTTCTCGACGCCTCTTCGAAATGGGAGACCCTGGCGAGACGCCTGCCCCCTGGCCCCAGGGAAGCCCCGCCCTCGCTGGGGCTGCCGCTCTTGGATAGGCTTACCTGCTCATCGGGTCTTCCAAGACGGCTTGAATCTAGTCAGAGGAGTCTGATGCTTCTCCAAGTGCCCGGCCGCTCTGATATTTTTCGAAGCCTCGGGTCTCTTCGGCATCACCCAAACATACTTCTGCTACGGACGATTCGCGCCGTGGCGACCGGCGGCGACCCCAGCGCGGGCGTTCATGGTTGTTGAACGCCGCCCGTGGCCCAGCATCGGGTGAGGTTCAACGATCTGACGTTTCGCAGACGGCCGCTCGTTCAAGTTTGAACGATCCCCTCGGTGTCAGGAACCAACGCCATGGGCGACATGCCACGAGCCCGCGGTCTGTGCGCGTCTGCACCCCAGGGGCGGCGCGCGCGCTGAGAAGCCTTCCAGCAGGGCCTCCGTGGCGCGGGCTCTCCGGCCGCACCGCTCGCGAAGCGATGCACCACAGGATGGCTGTGCCGTCTGATTCGGCCGGGCGCGAGCCTCCCAAGGGGGACGCGCAGTAGCATGCGCAGGAGGGCAGGATCCAAGTATGTCTCCTCGTCGTCGTCGTCGTCGTCGGTCGTCGTCGTTCGTCGTCGTCGTCGTCGTCGTCGTCGTCGTCGTCGTCGTCGTCGTCCGTCGTCGTCGTCCGTCGTCGTCTCCGTCGTCGTTGTCGTCGGCGTCGTCGCCGCCGCCGCCGCCGCCGTCCACTTCTGTCCTTCTGCATCCCACGGGGGGGTCCCAGGCGTCCGCTCCCTGGGCGGGATGAACGTCCCCGCCTCGTGGGGGGCTCCTTCGTCCCCAGGCCCCCGACGTCATGCTTTTTTGTCGGGACGCCTTCCCCGGGACCTGCCTTTTTCATCCCTAGAGTCGCTTCTCTTGACGGCCCCGCGAGGCCCGGGCAAGGCCCCCAGAGGCCGAACATGGCGGCAAACTCCCCTGCTGTGACTTTTTCGCCACTCGAGGGGGTCTGGGTCCTGATGGGCCTGTTTTCCACCACCATAAGCTGGAGGGAGAGGGGGTCCTCCTCCTCCTCCTCCTCCACCTCCTCTTCCTCCTCCTCCTCTTCCTCCTCCTCCGCCTCGTCGTCGTCCTCCTCCTCCTCCTCCTCCTCCTCCTCGTCCTCCTCCTCCTCCTCCTTCTCCCTCCAACTCATGGTGGTGGTGGTGGAAGACAGGCCCATCAGGTCCGCCTCGCTCGGCCGCCCCCGCCCCCCTCCGCAGGACTCTAGGCCTCCAAGATGGGGTCCGAGTAGATGGGGTCCGAGGATTGCGCCGCATCGCCGATGCATCGGCGATACGGCTCGATGTGGAGACCGTGTTTCCCCACGTCGGCGTCGCCGATGCATCGCTGACGTCGCCGATGCATCGCCGATGCATCGGCGATGCATCGCCGATGCATTGGCGATGCGGTGCGATCCTTCGACCCCATCTACTCGGACACCATCTAGGAGGCCTCTAAGGACGGCCCGCGGCCGCCCGCGGCCTGCGCCTGCGGCTCGACCGCCTCGCTGCGCTTCCTGCCCTGCGGCCACCCGTGCTGCGCGCGGTGCCCCTGGCTGCCGTTCCTGCGCGGCCGCGCGGCGCCGCCCGCGGAGGAGCCGGCGCCCGCGGCGCCCGCCGCCGCCGCCCGAGCGACGCCGGAGCGGCTCCGGCGTCGCTCGGGGTCGCTCGGGCGGCGGCGGCGGCGGCGGAGCCTCCCGCCTTGTCTTAAGTCGGGCCTGTCCCCCTACAGGAGGAAGAATCGAAAGTAGCAAAGCAAATATTACCCCAGTGCGACCCTACCTAGGAGTTGGAGCCCCTAGGAAAGCAGCATTAGTAGTAACGGTAAACGCCGTCCTCCTCCTTCTCCTCATCGTCGTAGTTGCCTTGGCTTTTGCTTGTTTTTGCTTTTGCTTGGTTTTGTTTTTGCTTTGCCTTCGCACACACACACACGCATGTTTTTGCATTCGCTCACCGGGTGGGCTCTCTGATTGTACTGTTGCACATTGCTTTTGCTTTGCCTTTGCTTTGCTTTTGCTTTTGCTTTGCTTTGCTTTGCGTTGCTTGTGCTTTGCTTTGCTGTTGCTGCTGTTGCTTTGCCTTTGCTTTGCTGCTATGCCATGCTATTCTATGCTATGCTATGCTGCACAAATGCTATGCTATGCTATGCTGTGCTGTGCTGCGCTATGCTATGCTACGCTAGGCTGCGCTATGTTATGCTAGGCTATTGTATGCTATGCTATGCTGCGCCATGCTATGCTATGCTGTGCTATGCTGCGCTATGCTATGATATGCTATGATATGCTATGCTATGCTATGCTGCGCTATGCTATGCTATGCTGGGCTATGCTATGATATGCTAAGCTAAGCTCAGCTACAGCTACGTGAAGCTAAGATGAAGCTCAGCTAAGCTAAGCTAAGCTAAGATGAGATACGCAAAGCTAAGGTAAGGGGGCGCAACTGGGGGAACCGCGGGGCGGGGACCGGGGGAGCCGCCCGGGGCGAGGAGCACTGCCCGGTCCCTTTAAGCTAATATAGTAGGAACCCTCTAGGCAGAGCCTAGGTAGGGAAATATGGGGATGATGTTTTGACTATTTATGCGTTTTTTTTTTCTTGTCGTCCCAAATCCCCCTGTAGGGGGACATGCCCGACGTAACCCTTCTCACTTCCCCCCTCGCTCGCCGCCGACGTGGGCGTCGCGTGATGCTTGGTTCCTCGTGGGGCAAATCCGGGTTCATCGTGGGGCAACTGCACGTGAGGAAGCGGATACCGCCGCCGCGGCCCCGGATCTCCGACGATGTCCTCCCTCTCGAGCGTCGCGTAGTGCTTGCGAACATGTGGGGGATGGAGCTGGGCTTACAGAGTGTTTGGCCACTTTGGACTTTGTCTTGACATGATGCGTTAGACCAGTCATCAGCACATACATGTTTTCAACGTCGATAGGAATGCGGTAGCTGCCAGATGATCTTCCCACTCGTGTGGCGAAACCTATGCGATTCGGAGCCTTGCTGTGCGAGCGTGCGCGACAGCAAGAAGCAGCTGGGCATGCCATGGCGAGACGTCGACGGCCTCGAAGACGTGTGATACATGGCTTCGGTGCGTGATCTCTTACGTTACCCGTCGTGCCTCCCCCGTGGAGTTTGGCGCGCTTCGCCTGTCGCCCGCTGCGCGACCCCCCCGCCCCTGTGTCGAGGGCTGGGCGGGGGGGGGGGCACGCCCCCGACTCGGGCAACGGCTTCCTCCTCCTCCTCCGCCGCCTCCTCGTCCTTGTCTCTCTCCTTCTCCGCGACCTCATCCTGTTCATCCTCGTCGTACTCGCCCCCCTCCCCCCTCGCTTCCGCGCTCTTCCGTCCCCGTCCTCCTACCCCCCCTCCTCCCGGGGCCGCGCATTGCATCAACCTCGCCGCTGTCGGCTGTGAGCATGCGTCAGAGAAGGAAAAGTATCGATACCGCTACCCGTGCCTTGTTTTCGCCCTTTTGAGCCTCCCGGGAGGCCCTCGTCGCCACCGCTGGATTCGCTTCGAAATCCTGGTCAGAACGCACCCTGGGAGAGAGTAGCAATATGGGTGTCTTTTGGCTTCCCCAGCGCGGCAGCAGGGCGGAGGCGCTCCAGGCCTGCGATTTTTACATGAACAGTCCCCTGCCATCAAGATCAATCGGAAGCAGAGCCGTCAAGGAAACACCCTTGTGCTTCGGGCTCCAGACCGTGTGCTGCGAGCGCGGCCGAGATTCGGCCGCGGCTGGGTGGCTGGCTGGCTGGCTGCGCGTGGCAGTGGAATGATGCTGGCGTGTGGGATCCTGTCGGGTGGACGTTGCGGAACCTCTTCCGGCGGCTCGCCTTGCCGAGCAGGGCCTCGGTCGGGCGCCCCCAGACGGTGTGGTGACCACACCGCGTGGTGAATCGGTGGGGATTCGGGGTCACAGCACGGTTTTGGGACTCGGGTCGTTCTCCGAGGACGTCTCGGACGACCGGATCCTCCGAGGTGCCAAGACCGTGCGGTGACGGACCGCGCGGCGAGGTCGCTTGGGGTCCCGAGGCCACCGCGCGGTCCGCCAGCACTGGGCTTTGGGGCCTCGAATTCGGCTTGATTGCCGGGGTGGCACGTAGTCGCAGGGTGCAGCACGGCTCCTCGGGATTGGCAGCCGGTGGGCGGCGCCAAAACTGGGTGTCGTCTGCGCGGGCATTGGCGCGTCGGCTGCCCGCGTGAGGTCGCGCGTGAGCGCCCTCGCCTTCACTGTGGCGCGCCGTGCTGGCGACCCGCGCGAGTCACCGCGTATAAGGTCGCTGTGCCATCTCGCGTGATGCCCGCTTTGGATCTTCGCTCGGCATCGCTCGGGCGTGCGCATTTTTTGGCGAGGACCATCGAGCAGCATCTTTGAGCATCTTGCGAAACCGAAACCGACAAACGGCACGGAGAACGGACGTCCGAGCGATGGCGACAGCAGGCTCTCCCGCCCCCCCGCGCCGCGCGCGCAGAGGAGGGCACCGAGGGGGAGGAGGCGGACCTGTGCTGCGTGCCCGAGCTCGCCTGCCCCCGGTGCCGCGCCGGGAGCGCCCCGAGGGTAAAGATGTTCTAGTTTGCTCTGTTCTAACTTACTCTAGCCTTGGGCTCCAGAAATAATTTCGAGCACCAAGAGAACTATCGAGGCTGGGGCGTTTTCACGTGTCGGGTCCTGGGAGGCGATACTCGTTCGACACTTGGCCAGTGTGTCTGGCAGATACTGTTCCGATAGTTTTCTGGGTGCTCGAAAGTATTTTTTAATGGGAGCACGTGATCCGACGGGGGGGCAGCGCGGGGCCAAGTCGACGACAGGGAGACGAGGGCTGAAGGAGAGAAAACAGTATGCAATGTCTGATGGAGGGAAAATCCCGGGGAGGCTCGTCCAGGGGAGGTGGGCCGGAGGGGTTGTCTGGATCCCCGCAGGATTTTTTCCACGGCGTTGTCCTGGGTAGGCCGTTCTGCCATCGTTAATCAGCATGGGTTGTGCGGGCTGTCTGGGGGGCTGCCCGGGGAGTTCTCTCGATCGGACTTTCTGTCCAATGAGCACAGTAAGCATGGGAGACGAGGGACGAGGGCCGAGTCGACGAGTGGGGGTCGGGGAAACGAGAGGCTCGAGTTTTTGCTGGAGCTCGGGCTCGCCGCCGCTTCTTTCTGCGGGCCCTGCCCGGGTTCGGACGGTCCAGTTTTCGGGGAGTTTTTGAATTCAAAAAATCTGGCATTGTGAATGCGAAGAGGGTCCAGTCTTCGTGGGATGCCTGCAAGCGGGAGCTCGCGTCAAATTTCAGACCCGGCTTCGTCGTTTCCTGACGGCCCCGTCGGGCCAACCCAAGTTTTGCCGAGCCCGAGTCTTAATACGTCTCCCCGAGGGGGCCGAGGGTCGAATAGTATTAATAACAACAATAAGAAGAGACAGTAGAAGAATGCGATGATCCTCAGGACGCGTGTTAGCCCAGTGTGTGCCTACCCCGCTCGGTCCCGCCGCTCGCACGCAGCCTGCGCCAGCTCTCGCTGCACTGCCCGCGTCGTGTTGAGGGGCCTGTGGTGGACCAGCACACGTTGGCGCTAACACATGTTCTGAGGATCATCGGATAATTTCTCGGCGCTCCGTGCAGAGTTCTCGGATCGACGCTGGGACCTCTGGCGGCGCCCCCGGCGCGCTCCGCGCGCCAGGGAGGGGGGTCACCAGCGCCGATCCAAGAAGTCCGCGCGGAGCTCCGAAGGTTTCTGTTTGTGCCATTTGTGCTTCTGGAAGGAATGAGAAATCAGGGGAAGGGGGCAAAAACGCGGCCCTCGCAGCGGGCACTCAAAAGCAGCCCCGAGCGTTGGGGCAGCGGTCCTGCCCTGCTCGGCTCCTCTCGTTGGCTGCAGTTTGCAAACGCCCTCGCTCGCAGGGGTGCTTCTCACTTCTGGGGGGGTTGCAGCTGGCACGAGGGTTGAGGTGGCGATGGGGGCGAACAGCCCAGGGGCGGGCACCGCAAGTATTCGTTGGGGAGCTTCGCCGAAGGCATGGATCAGCTGCGCCCCAGGGCTGCCCCCTATCCGCCCCCACCGTCGCTCCCGGTATGAGCAACCCTGGCATGGGAGGGCTATCCCTACGGCCTCCGCGCTCGGGGTTCTCTGCTCTGGCATGGTCTCCGTCCTGGGCATTCCCGTGGGGCGCTGGGCCGTGTCCCCCTGGTTACACATGCCCCGGGCAAAAGGCAGCGCCGCAGAGCCACTGCAGCTCGCGCAGCACATGCTCTCTACGAACTCCGCACGCGTCCCAGGACAGATCCCGGCCTGGCGGCAGCGGTCGCAGCAGGTCTGGCACGCCAGCCGCGTCTCCAGTCGGCAGCATGCTGGCAACTCTGCCCCGCTCGTCCCGGGGCGCTCGAGGCGCGGTTCCGCGCCGCCCGGCACCGCGACCGCGACCCGACGCCGAACGCGACGCCTCCGCGGCATCCCCGGCGCGGCCATGGCCCCTGCCCTGCTCAGCAGACCCTCCGTCACCCGCGACGCACGCTGGTGGCACCGCCGGCGACAACTGCCCATTGGCGCAGCCACGGCGCAGGCCGAGGCGTCTGCCCTGCCGAATCTGGGCCCGCCGCGTCAAGCATAGGCGCGGCCCCTGCGGCGCTGCCCACGCCCGCCGCATCGACGCAAACAGAGCTCCCAGCGCAGCCCGCGGAGCAGCCCGCGGAACGCGGCAGGCCCAGCGGCGACGCCCGCGGCACCGTCGGCGGCGCAGGCGCGGAGCCCGACTCCGGCGCAGCGTCCACTCCCCGCGGGGTCGCAGCGCTCGCCCCCGCCGCGCAGCTCGGTGCCGCGGGGCCATTCCCCACATCCCAGCCGTACTCCTGCGCCCTCTGCTTGGCGACCGCGAAACTCCCGACCATCATCTCCCCGAGGCGGCGGACCCCGTCGCGGACATACGCGGGCGGGCCCCTCTGCAGGATGTCCCAGGGCGGCAGGTTGTAGACAAGAACGCGACAGGCCACGCGAGCGCGACTGAGCATGACCTACAGGTGCAGCCACTAGCCATCGCGGCTCCTGTTCAGGTGCTTCTGGAGCGCCGTGGTGGCCGCATCCATGCCCAGGCCCTGCGCGGTCTGCACGGTACGCACCCGCTCCTGCATCAATGGGAACTGGTACCTCGTAGCCTTACCACTGCGAGGCTTTCGCACGGCAGACTCTTGGTAGTACGCCTTGGCTTCGCAGGGCGCCCTGTGCGCCGAGATCTGCACGACCCCTTTCTCGCCAAACCCGAAGTCTTCCTCGAGGCCGTCAAACTTGACGAGGACACAACGTGGCAACTTGTTTCGTCGATAATAACAACGCCTGGGGGCTTCGTGATCTTTATTTCGGCGCCAGTCCGCTCTAGCATCCTGCGTCGGGAACTCGCTGGGGTGGAACTTCAGCCCTGGACTGTCCTGGTGGCGTCCTGCACGATCTTATCTTTCGCCGACATCTTCACCGTCAGCAGAACACGGATGCCTATATACAGTGGGCACATGCCGATCAGATGACCAGTATTGTTGATGTTCGGCATTTGCAGCATGCCCAGGTGTTCTTCCAGCGAGAGGCAGTGCTGAGGCACGTCACCGCCTGCACGTACAGCAGCATCTCCCCTTTCTCCCTGGCCTCTCGCACGGCACGATACTGCATCTGCCTGAGGCACAGCCTCCCAGCCGATGGTCTCTTGGGACTTCCTGGGGGCCTCCTGGGGGCCTCTTGGGGCCTCTTGGGGGCTTTAGGGGGCCTCGTGGGGCCTCCTGGGGGCCTCTCGGGGCCGAGGGCTCGAAATGTCCGTTCAGGTCCCCCGTCTGGGCTCTCTCTTGGGGCGGTCTTGGGGGAGTCTTGTGCCGTCTTGGAGGCCTCTTGGCCCGTCTTGGGCCGTTTGGGGGCCCTCTTGGAGGCCTCTTCGGTTGCCTTGGCACGATATTGGGGGCCTCCTGAGCCGAAAAGGCGAGAGCGTCAAATCATTCAAAAACCATAGCAAAATCAATGACTTTGCCTCCTGGGGCCCTCGTGGGAGTGCTCTTGGAGGCCTCTTTGGGCGTCTTCGAGCCCCCTGGTCCGTCTGGACGCCACCCGGGGCGTCCTCGAGCGATCTTTCGGCGAGCCTGGGCCCTCCTGGACCGCCTGGGCGGTCTCCTGGGGCTCTCTTCGCCTGCTCTGGGGCCCTCCTGGGCGCGGGGACCTTCCCAGAGGCTCGCGCGAGGCACCCCAGCAGCGCCCGTGGCCGGCGCGCCCGCCGAGGGGGGACGACCGCCTGCACGCGCAGGACGCGCGGTCAGCCGCCTCGGCTGCACGGCGCGGGCGCGTGTCGCAGAGCCGCAGCAGAAGATCCGAGGCTGTCAAACCTCCTATGACGAACGAGCAACACACACCCATACCCATAGGGGGGTCGTTGGGAGGAGGACTGGCTATGGGTATGGGTGCGGGTTGTCGGACCCTGGGGAACGCTCCCGTTCGAGCGGGGACCCCCATCCGACAACACGCACCGATAGCCATCTCCGACCCCTCTATGGGTATGGGTGTGTGTTGTTGGTTCGTCATCCTACCCTGACACGTCGATTAGCGAATTGGCCGCTTTCGGTTCGCGAGAGGGCGTCGCGGCGCCGTCATTTTTGCGGGTCCAGGTGCGCCGGTTTCGGTTCCAGGCCGTTTTTCACTAAAGGGAGGCTTGCTGAAGGGAGGTTTCTCCACCGTCGAGAAGAAGGAGTGGTCCGCGGTCTTGGGGGAGGCCGTCCAAGCGGAGTTTGTTCGCGAGCTTGGGCGAGGACGACCGGCTTGACTTGCGGTCGGCTGGCGGCCAGGGCGGGGGGTTCCTGGAACAGCACGTTCACCGCGGGGGACTTGAGGAGCCGCAGCTCGTGCCCGAAGGCCTTTTCCAGATGGCGCTGGCGGACAGTCTCCGCATGCACCTCTGCGCGCCTGGGACCACGTGTCAGCACCGCCGGGCGGACGGGAAAGTATGTGCTCAGCTCAACGACGCTCGCGCCAAGCACGCCCGCAAGTGCCCGTGCGGTCCAGGTCGCAGCCGTCGGCGCAAGGGTGTGCGGGACTTCTGCAGCTCCTGTCACCAGGGGATGACCGGCTTCACATCGGTCAGTTAGCAGCGCGTCTTGGCCCAGGGCCGCGTCGACGCGACTGGCGTAATGGAGGAGGCGAGGTTTGGCGTGGCCACCTGGGACGCCGTCGCGGGTGGACGTTGCCGTGACCTGCGCACGCAGCGACGACCTGTCGCGCCGGCAGGCCCGCGCTGGCCGAGGTGGGCTTGCGGCCCAGAATGCTGCAGAAGCCTGCGAGCACCTGCGATGCCCGCCGCACGGAGGGGAACTGGTCCCTGTTGGAGGGTTTCTCCGAAGGGCTTAGGCGACCCGTTCTCCTCCTCCCTCCTAGTCCTCCTCTTCATCCCCCTCCTCCTCCCCCTCCTCCTCCTCCTCCCTCCTCCTCCTCCTCCTCCTCCTCCTCCTCCTCCTCCTCCTCCTCCTCCTCCTCCTCCTCCTCCTCCTCCTCCTCCTCCTCCTCCTCCCCCTCCTCCTCCCCCTCCTCCTCCTCCTCCTCCTCCTCCTCCTCCTCCTCGCCCTCCCCTCCTCGGGTCGCCTCCAGCTCGGGGGGAAAGCGTCCAGTCCCTGTTATCTTCGAGGCTGGCGGGCGGCCTGGTGAAGAGACTGTGGCGTACGTGCGGTCCTGGGCGCACGACATGGCCCCAGCCCCCCGGATAGAGGTCATCCGTTTCGCTTGGCAGCAGCTCGGCACGCATATCCAAACCAGAACGCGGAGCTGCTGCTTAGCGCGCTGGGCTGGTGGAGGGCTTCGCGGCCAAGGCGACGCACCGCCGCCGAGGCGACCAGTCGCGGCCTGGGCTGCTACCGGTGCTGCCATTCGCCATACTACAGCCGCAATCACAACAATCTTGAACCTACCACATCTACCACTTTAGCCACTACCGCGCCCGCAAGTGCTGCGCCGCGACTTCCACGACGCCGCTCCCACGACCGCAGGCGCCAGCGACCAGCCACGACATCCACGACCACGACCACGACCACGACCACGACCACCGCGACAGCCACCAGCACGACGACCACGACCACCACCGCGACCACCATCACGACCACCAGCATGACCACTATTATCGCCACCGCGACCGCCGCGAACGCCTCCGCCCCCCGCCCCTGTTTTGTCCCCCTCCCCTTTGTCGGCTGGGTCGCCGCCCCCCCTGCGCCTTTCAGCTCCTTTCCGGTGGGGCCCCTCGCCGAAGGTGGGGGTCCGGTCGCTCGCGGTGTGCAGTATCCTGCCCTTGACCGCCGTTTTGCGTGTCTCGTCTCACCCGTGGTGGTTTCGCACAGGGGCCCCGCCGCGAGCTGTCCCGCCAGGGCCTCGTTGAGTTCCTAGCGCGGGTGGACCTTCTTGCCCTTCCCACCTGAGGACGAGGAGGCTGAGGATGAAGATGGGGATGCGGATTGGAAAAATATTAAGAACAGCGAGAATACTAATAACATTACTAATGATACTAATACTTAGAACAACATCGCTAGTGCTATGAAATGAAGGAGAGTGACAACACGATGACTGCTACGACTACTAATAAAGCAGTAAGATCAGTAGTACTAATCGTACTACTACTAATGCCAACAATCGTAATACTTTCATAGCAATGAGTCGTAACATTCCGTAATACCAACGCATCTATGAGAACATGTATGCTGATGTTACTAAATATTTTAGTGGTACTACGAAAGCCCATACTACTCATACTACTACCAATCGTCATGCTACTAGTCCTACTACTGATAATAATGATACTCTTACTAATCGTATTTATTCCAATTTTGCTTGAAATACGGATCATGTCAAGCATAGTAATATCACTAATACTACCAAGCGTACATATACTATCAATGATCATACGTCAAGAAGACAAATACGAATAACCACGCACAATCGAACGAGGAGAAGGAATATGAGGAGGAGGAAGAGGAGGAAGAGGAGGATGATGAGGACGAGCATGATATTAACCAGAACGAGGAACAGAATGATCATGCTATACTTCGTAAGCAGGGTACTACTACTACAAACAAGAGAACTATTTATAATCATAGGAAGATGACCAGGATGAATAAGCGCAGTACTTGGAGAATCCGGAAGCATACGAATAATAATATGAATCGTGCTCGGAACACAAGTAATAATACCATTAATAATAAAACAGCGAATGAAACGAACACGACGAAGCGTCGTAATACTAGTAATAATACGATTCATAAGCGAATGTCGGACACGAGTGTTTAAAGTGATGATACTAAGGAGGATATTTATACTAATCGTGCAACTGAGGTGGAAAAGGATAAGATAACTAACATTGTTGAGTTAACTTGTAAGAAGGAGGTGACGACTGATAATGCTAACAGTAGTAATAATCAGAGTAAGATGAAGATGTGAAGGATAGTAATACTATGAAGACTATGCAACATCCCAATCGGAAGTGCAACACTACTGC